CATGCACACCCGTGCACACCCGTGCACGCCCAAAGCTGTGTGAGAGCACTGCAGAGCTCTGCCCGCGGGGGTGGGGAGGGCAGGAGGGCCCTGCGCTCGCTGCCTTGGGCAGCTGGGGGTCAGCTCTTTCGTGAGCCCCTTGAGCCTCTGCGGGCCAGCAAAGCCATGTTCCTCCAGCTCATGCACATGCTGTTTTGGGGCTGTCTACAGCAGTGCATGGAAGTTCTGCACGTAAAACTCCTGTCAGAGACAGCCCGGAGCAGCCTGCTGCAGGCGGTGCCTTACCTACCTTGCATCCAGCTGAAAGAGCAAAGAGTGCACGGCTCCTGTCATCGCTAACAGGAGGGACCAGGGGCTTAAATATACCCTACTAGCAGCTTGGCATGCTCGCAAGAATCTCATCATATTTGCGTATAGCTTTGAGTCTCCATTTACAATAAGTAGCACAAAGAGCCTCTGAACTATATACCTGTATGTGTGATTTCTGCTCACCGAGGAGCCTGTGTAGCTCATTGGGTGCTGGGTGACAGAGCTGGCCATGCAGAGCACAGGGAATGCGTCTTGTAAGAATGATGTTAACACCAGCACATTAAAAGGCAGAAGGATTGTCTGACTGTGCATTACCAAACCAAAGTCTGTAAAATAGTAAGAGCAAGACTTGACAAATCTTTGTAAGACTTAAAAGTTACAAAGCTAATGTAAATGCTAACTAACATATAATTACCTATCTAGAGTTATCCACTTTATTACTATGAAATCACTTTTTGCAGTAGAACTACTAAACCTGGAGATTATAATATTTATTTCAATTTTTGCTAGGCACTGTTGCACTATCAGAAATGCACTGATGCATTTCTCTAACAGCTGTAGCACAAATGGGTCGATTTTGTTTTTTACTCCTGGATACCTTCAAACCAACATTGTTGTGCGCTGTACTTGTTTCCTTTTAACAACCCAAGAGATCTGTCGCTTAAATTTACAGAGTAGTAGTTACCTGGCAAGCCGGGGTAGGATTATTCTTTAGAAGCAGCAAACTGTTTCCAAGCCAGAAATGTGACTTTTACATGTAAGCAAGTCTAAAATTAGTGATTGCTGCCTGTGCAGGAAGGAAATTGTAAAAGAACAGCCACATACTATCAGCAGCCCAAATGTGAGAGGGGAAGGTTTTTTTTTCAATGTCCACATCCTGAGACTCGCGCTGCCTGTATCACCTGAACTACCAAACCCCATGGGTGAAAATGCTCGTCTTGTCAGAAGACAAGGCTGAAAGCCTGGTCTTACATTTCAGGTACCTGCTGGTTGAATTTCCAACCCTGCTAACTCACTCCAGGATGAATACCTGCAAATACAACTGTGGCCAGAGGAGCACAGCTCCTCTCCTGTTCAGCAGCTCTCAGCATGCAGCAGTGCAGGGATGAAACATTGCCCTGCTCTCACCATGCACACATGCTTCATCAGTGGCAAAGCTCCCACTGATTTCCTGAGGGCCGAAGGAAATATTTCTCCTTTACATGGGTGCATGGATGCATCTGGTGAATACAGACTGGTTACTGGAGAAAATGGAAAGAGAAGGGTACAAATATATGTGTGTATATATGTCTGTGTATATATATTCCAACTGAACTATTCTATTCTAATATACAGTACAGCTCCCCTTCTCCCTCCCTTCTAACCCATTTGGACAGTGCTTGTATCTACCAACGGTTTAAAAGAGGTGAAAGGCTTGGTCTGGGATGGATACCTGTGATGCTCACCTCTGACAATGAATGCATCGGTGGGTAAATTGACCAGCGCATGAAGAAAGCAGGAATTTTGATAATAGTCCAATACCCCGATGCCACATTGTGTCCTCAGTTCCAGATTTTCACTTGTCAGACACGCTCTTCGCTCTGCTGTTTGTCTTTGCCTGCTTTGCCCTTGGAAAGCCCTTTGCATCCCACCTGTGCCTTCTTTCCACCAAGTGCGGTATTTAGGGATGTAAACCAGCATCCTGAGTGACGGGGATTGAACTATAGGCGTGCAAGTCCAACACCGAAATCCTCATCGTGAGCAACCCTTGAATATATGGATGGCCCAGTGTTTTGAATCAAATCACAGTGTCACTCTCAGTACATTTATTTTAACATCTCAGGGTTCACTCCCTCCCTCAAATATTACATGCTCTCTAATTCTTGGTATTAGTATTTTCTAAACCTTTTTCTAAGTTTGGTTATATTGTTGGCAGCGGTATCTTGTGCCAGCGATTTCCACAGGTTATTTATCAGTTTGGCAATGAGTTTCATGGGTTGTTCAGCTTCATTGCGACACGGGGTTACATACCTTGGAGGCACAGAAAGGAAGTATACGCTGAGTAATGTCTCTACCCACAGACAGCATGCACCAAAAAGCATTGATCTCTCATGTAACTCTCACTCAACCTGCGCAAGATTGCAAACTCACCTGTACGTTAGCCCATGCAAGTGAAACCTGTATGTAATTATTTTATGACAAGACAGTTTCTTTTCATGCTGAATGAGTAACACGGAGAAAGTGGCTGCTGTCAAAGTTGTAGTGTGTGGGGGCTTTGCACAAGGCAGGCTTTTTTCGTGTCCAGAAGTGGTGATCCCATGTCCCTTGATGTAAAGGAGTGGTGACACCGTGTCCCTTGAGCTTGGTGTCCCAGACCCCCAGGCAGACAGCCGGAGGCCTACAGAGACGTCCCTCACCAGTCTGGGGAAGAGCTCAGCGAGAGGAGTATTGGTGCACGCCAGCAGTTGCCCACTCATCTAAGTGTAATGTAATTATCAAAGCACAACGGTTCGTGACCCACAGAGATGCAGCATGACACTGTGTCTCATTGCTATTCACAGGCCTAACACAACCTCAGTAGAAAGGATCTTTTTATATAAACAGAAGGAGAGAACAAATTAAAAAGAAATAAGAAATTGGGTGAAAGAAGTTCAAAGCTTCAGCAGGCTTGGAGAAGAGCAGAGCCATTCACTGCCTGCTCTTATCTCCATCCCATCGCATCAGTAGAGGATGTATCAGGTGTGAGCTTGTGATCTGGCTTGGGCGCAAGCCCTCAGCTCAGCCAGAGGAGTTACCAACAGCATGGTGCAGATCAGCAGACGGACACTCCCTTTGGGTCTTGTTGCTTACCATCCCCCTTCAAAAAGTATGCTTGAAAATTAATTAAATGAAATGCATAATAAATACATAATAAATAAACAACGTGTAATAATTGCATTAAATATGCATCAATAGCTACAATTTTAAATAATTTATGCTGCTGCTCTGCCACCATTACCATGCTTTCTGCAGGAGGACATAGCATTAATTCTGGTTTAGTGTCTGAAGCACAGGAGAGCTGGGTTTTAGTCTCAGCTTAGTCACGGACTGGCTGCATGACCTTCACCAAGTCACTTTTCCTCTGTTTCTTATCCACAGAGTCTGGATAGTAACAATTACTACCTCTGGTAAAGCCTCAGGATCTAAAGTCCGAAAGCACTGTATAGCATTTGGTAACAAGAACAGTACAAGAACATGAAGACAATAGAAATGTTTTCTGAGTAATCTTGTGCTGCTCATTTTTATTCTGCATATACATTAGCCAGACTACTCCATGCTGAAAGGTTTGTAAGCACTTGGTTGTCAGCAAATTGTGGAAGAGATTTAGTGGCAGATAAATATGCTGCAGAAACTAAAACTGGATTAAAAACTTCAACGTTTCACAAAGCTAAGTAACAACAGTAGACCTCTGGGGATTTCTGAATGCACAGACAAAAGATCAAAGCCCAGATTGTGACCAACACTTGTGTGCAAAGCTGCAAATAATGCCTGGATCAGCAAAAGCCTTCTGAAAATGCGGCAACGGAAAAATGACAGCAGGTGCAAC